CTCTGTAGGAGTTGATGGAACACTTCCAAATTTGCTGTGTAGGATTTTATTTTTTTATTTTTGACAAAACACCACGAGCCATTTCTCCCTTTAGCATTAGACTCACAAATTTGCTTTGGTTGTATTTACCCATAATGCCTTGCGCTATAGTTCACGTCCTGTTTTTGGAGAGGTTTCCGGTCCTTTTTCATCTACCTATCCATTCAAAACTCGTTCACTTCTGGGTTTTTTTTTTGTTTGTTTATGTTTTGTTTTGTTTGTTTGTTTTGGGCTGGGGGTAATATACATTTAGCATCCCGGTCCACACTCTACTCCAGTAGATGGGGGTAATGCACATTAATATGTTGCTTTCCAACTGCCATAAAAAAAGAAGAGGAGTTCACTTCAGCCGAACCGAGACCGAGGCTTGTAGGCGGACCGCAGTTCGCTTTTTTAGTCCGAATCAGAGTTCTGCTACGCCTCGCCAAGCAAACCGGACTTCCCAGGCAAACCTGCTAAAGTTTGGTTAAACAGACTAAACGGGGCTGGTGTGAATCCATCCTAACGGAGGAATGAGCCACCCAGGTGGGTTGTGAGGTTGTTGTCAGTGCCGTTGGGGACGGGGTAGCCTCATTCCTGGTCTGCAGGAAAGGCAGCCAGATTAGCTAATTGATTTCTTCAGCCAAAGCACAGCAGCAGGTATAGAGGTTCCTCAAGTCGTTTGGTCTTTATGTCGACAAAACAGCACCTCATGGCTTTCTGGTGGTGCATGGAGTTAATATAGTTCTCGGCTTATACTTAGTGTGGGCACGACCCGTGTCTAATTTTCTAGAAAGGGAGAAGCACAACTCTGAGTGCAGTGCTTTGTTTTATGTTTTTATTCTCTTAAGAATTTCCCTTCCTTTCAAAAACTTTAGCTTTTTATTTTATTTACTAATTTATGTATTTTTTTACCCAAAAGATCAAATTAATTGCTCGAAATAAAATGAAGCCAAGCTTGCCAAAGCAATACTTTGTACAGTAATTGGACAGATGCTTGGTAATTTCCTATACTCTTGAGCTGTTCATGGATTCTGAAGAAAAAAAAAAACAACTAAGATAATTACTGTTTAAGAACTATGAAATGGATAAAGTCGAACAAAACTACATAATTAAGAAGTAAATTTTTTTCTTTGTTTTTCTACAAATATAATTTGAAAAGTTTTACTGGTATTTAACCTACAGCATTCCTATATTTCTTATAAAAACCCAATGTGGTCAACTTTGAAAGTCTCCTAATTGGAATAATCATTCTTGTGTGTGTAACTTAATCTAAACTACTCCATGAAGGCCTCCTAGGTGTCCGTTTGGCCGTGTGTTTTCAATGTAAAACGCAGGCAAGAAGCAGAATAGATCCAAAATGAAGAGATTTAATGATAGACTTTTAGTAAAACTAGAACTGGAAGTTGGAACATGACATAACAAAAGACCAAGAACACCAGGAGAGCCGATTGTTGTGACGAGGCACAGACAAGAGACTGAATAGTGGTGCTGAGTTAGAAATCTGAGAGCAAAAATCCAATGCAGGGGTCAGCAACTCCAGTTGTCTGAGTGCCACTGTTCTGCAACTTTTGTTTGCAACCTTGCTCCAACACTCCTGAATCAAATAAATAGGCGATAACCAGGCTTTTCTGAAAACTGCTGACAATGCCAAGGAGGTAATTCAGGACTGGAGTTACAGACTGCTGATGTAATGGACTGAAAGTTTGAACAGAAACTACACACACACAGAAAACAGAACACAATATGAGTGACCCAAAGATGGAGAAAACGGGAAGTAAACAGTAGAGAAATCTTACTTTTCAAAATAAAACTTTCTGACAATGGTGAGAACGTCAACAACAAAAGACTAAACAATAGCACATCATCTGAAACATGAGTACAGAACATATAATACAAAATATCATGATAAGATGTTTTGGAAATATTTATACTGAAACATAATCATGTGTTGGAATTTGGAATTTGAAAAGTATTTTTGAAAATCTATGTGAAGCTCTAATATTCTTATTTTATCCCTTTCCTCTCAGATTCAGGCTTCTCTGTCAGTCCATCATTGCTCATAAGCTCTTTGATTACGTGGTCCTGGTCTTTATCTTCCTCAACTGCATCACAGTGGCTCTGGAGAGGCCCAAGATACTTCAAGGAAGCCTGGTAAGAACAATAATTGTCAGCGTTACTTATTATTCTCTACACACAGCAAACTTTGCAGTGTTAAATATGCAGTGTCAGATTTTATTGACTCTTTCAGAGCTGAACAACAGATTGAGTTAAGCGTTAATACCAATCTGATAAAGACAAAATGCACTCCTTAAAATTAACTCTTTAAGTGCTGAACTGTTTGACTCTTTAAGCAAACACTAGCTGTTAACTCGCTCTTCACAAACTAGCATGGCTAGTGCACAAATTAGGTAGCTAAACTAGCTAATAAAACTAGCTAGCCTGCTAGTTTGTGCTCTAACTAGCTGTGCACAGATTTAGAAGGAAAGTCGGGTAGTCTGTCAGTCTACAAAATAGCATTACTATTGATATGTTTGATTGAACTTTAAAATCACTTCTATTTTAAGAGCTTTTAAATGGCTACTACAGTAGCCACTAGATACATTAGCTACAACAGAAGCTTCTAGCTACAGTAGCTGTTAGCAACAGAAGCTACTAGCTACAGTAGCTGTTAGCAACAGAAGCTGCTAGCTACAGTATCTTCTAGCTACAAATAGCTACTTGTATTTTAAATTTTTTAAAATACAAGTGATTTTGAAGTTCAAACTTAGTAAAAGTTTCAATAGTAAAAATTGGAATTGCTGTTGTGAAGAAGGAAAGTAAACCCAACTATTGACTTGTACATAAAATGACTCTAGAAAAGACAAAATTATTGTTTCAACCATTTAACAATCCAAAGCATGGACTATTTATGCTTTTATTGCAGTATTTTTTAATAACCATTGATTTCAGCCCTTGACTTGAATCGTGTTTTCGCCCCTGATCCTGACGTAATCCAGTTTAATTGACCTTATTAATATAAACAAGAATCTAATTCATGAACAATCCTACATTTTTCAACAGTTCATTATTTTCTGACATCTCGGTGTATTTTTGATGTGATGCTAAGCAGTTATTTCAAGCAAGTATGCAATTAAATTGAATCTGAACACTTCTGGCAAGTTTAAGATCCAAATCGCTGTTATCTGACAACTCCTGTCAGTGAGGCTTCAGAGCACAGCAGAGGATTAACATTTACGGTGTGTTTTGAATATATTTTTGCTTTGAACCTTTTAGGTGGGTCAAACAATTATTAAACTGTATCAAACAATTAAAATAAAAATAATTTTTCCTTTTTTTTCTATATCCATCAAACTATTTCTATTGTCTATTTGCACTGTAGGAAAGACTGTTACTCACCCTTTCAAACTACATCTTTACGGCCATCTTTGTCGCAGAGATGACAGTCAAGGTAAAACGCTTCCAACTCTTTTGTCTTATTTTGTTTTTCTTTTTTTTTTTGCTGTAGTTCTGCCTGTTTTGCTGTCATTTTAGTAATTTCTTTCTTAACACATTATCTTAGCTGCATTAGACTTTTCCTTTTGTCTTAAATAACAATAGTTGTGTTTCTTTTAAATATAGAATTGCTGGAATTGAAATTATGAAAATACATTTGCTTAATGAAAACATAATTTTGATAAAACTCATGTTTTCCAGTGAAAGGTTTTTGTTGTGTATTTTGTGAAACTGCAATTGAAACACTTTTTATTACACGAGTAACATGATCAACGACTGCAAGTTACTGCTGGCAAAAACAACAAAGAAGAAACCAACAGGAAGAAGGATGATGGTTTTTTGTTTTGTTTTTGTTTTTTTAGACAATCTACAGCTGGCTCCACCAGAGCTCTCACAACATCACCCAGTTCACAAAAAGTTGTGTGTCAATCTAAAATTTTGAATCCACAGCTTTTCTGCAAAATGGCCGACTACAATTTCCCCAAAACGCTACATACGTAGCCGCTCCCCAGTATAAGGGGCTTGTTAGGGATTGAGTTATGAAAATATCTCATGTAACTGTTCACATCTGTCGCTGCCATGACTTTTATTGACTTACCGCATGAACAGACTTATTCACATGTGATTTTAATTTCATAGAAACACCGCAGTTGCAAAATTGTGTTTTTTCCACATTGGCTAAATATAGACAAATACTCACACATTGGAAGCTTATCTAGTGTTACCTTTTTGGTTTTGTTCTGGATCTTGTATCTTCAGGCCATTCTTTTACTGTATCATCTCTTTTATTTTCTGCCATCTACCCATCCACCCATCCCTTTCTTCCTTAATTTTTTACCCTCTGGTTTCCTATTTAGCTCCTCCTGTTGGTTTTACTGATAACTCTCCACCTTGGTGTTTTAATCAGTTGCACTTGAATCATTACTGATGGGCAGCCAGATAATGAATTTAATTAGAAGACTTTCATTCTTCAGCTGGCCTTCAGCCGCTCATGAACCTCCCATCAAAAACACACATGATTTCTGCTTTATCCTTCTTACCTTGTAGAAGACATTAAACCATCCATTATTAAGATCTTTGAGTCTTTGGGCATTCTCTGCACCAGTAGAAATCCGACAATGATTTTTCTATGGTTATGGATAATGAAGGCATGTGTAGCAGATTGTTACTTAGATTGTGACAGTGTATGGTTCACTGGTACTGCTGGATGGAGCTGCAGTCTTGTATCCCTTTCTTATAACTTCCCCTTTCTTTATTTTCCCAATTTGTAATTTAATCAAAGTAGCTCCATTAGTATCCTTCAATTTGCTGCTCCATTTGCACTCTCAGATCTGGTTTCGAGTGTCTTTCTACTACTTTTCTTGCGTCGTACCTATATATTGCTGTGCCATTCGTCTAACTCGTGACCTTTTTCAGATTCAGTTTAATTCATTTAGTTTTGTCTTAAAGCACCAACTCAGAAAACTGGTCCAATCCCATGGATTATACAGAAATGCACAAAACATTAAAATCACACTGACACAATGACACAAAATGAAAAGCTTTAATACAAGACAGACAAATTTCATTTACTATGACAATTACTATGTGTAAAGAAGCCCAGTCGGTAGCATTAAATTACTAATTTCCCAGCAGTCCCTCTGGTGGGCCAAGCAGGTGGTGACAGTGCAAAGAAATGACTTCCATATCACATCAAAAACCCTCCAGCATAACCAGGTTTAGTGCGACACCTGATTAGAAGATCGAGAAAACAATCCAGAATCGCAAAGAAAATCTAAGTATGTAGAGTTAAAGTCAGCAGCTGCTCACTTAGTGGCTTGGTCTAAGAAAAAAAAAGTTAAACCAGGAAAAATAAATAATTATTGTGGTGACTGGTAACAGATGGAGATGTGAAGAGAGATGATAACGGAGTAGAATTTCGCTAGCAGTGCGACAAAGTGTCTCTCTCTTCTTCTTCTTTTGAGAATATTGGTTTTCTACATTCCCTGTTTCTAGTGACTATTTATTAAAATTCCAAGATATACATTTTTCTCACATCAAGAGCCTTCCTCACTAAAGCAAATGAAACTATCTTAGCATCTTTAGCCTTTTAGATTGTTGATGTCGGCCATTAGACTCCATTTAAACGCATCATGAGTAACTTCATCTTCCCTCCAACTATTTCTTTGAGTTCCAGGGCCGTCTGAGGCTGTGATTTCTGATAAATGCCATATCGTGTCTGGGTTTCCTTCAGATCTGCATCATTAGATTTTCTTAAAAGCTGAATAAATTAGGCTGAAAGAAATTAGATCAAAAAGACGGCCGGTGTCTTGCTTTTCAGCCGTGCCACAGTCACTGAGTCGGACACGCTGAACACAATTTGCATCCATTTCCCAAAGAGCTCTTCAGAAACTTCGTTTCCAGTCCACCCTTAACAAGTACTAGTTTTAAATTCAGTTCAGCCACAACAGGTTAAAATGAATAAACTCGTCGTAATAGTGAGAAAATCTCCAGTTTCAGCTTGAGCTATCCATCCGTCCATTGTCAAAAGCTGATTGTTCTTGTAGGGTGGCAGATGATGGTGGTGTTGGCTCTATGTAGGGTGTGTATGTTGATGGTACTTATGATTTAAAGTTTGCTTTATATTCCAACCACCTCTGAAATATCAATAGGCAATCTGTAAAATTATACGCCGTTCTCATCAGTCCAGTAGAATAATTTCACCGTTTAGCATCGCAGACATAGGTAATCCCATTTTAACCTGAAAAAACACTTAAAGAGGAAGTCCAATAATAGCAGGGATGACTGAAATATCAGACTGTAAATGGAGTTTGACTGCAATTTAAAAGTGAATTTATTGTGACACACTCTGCTTGTCACACCGCTGACAGCGTAAGAAAAGCGCTGGGTAACCTTTGTCGCTGTTGGCATTGAAGTGCCAGACGTCCAATGAATCATGTGTTATCGGGGTGATGTTTAATCTGCTTTATTTATATCCTGAGTCAGTCCAATAGTAGCCGTGGAGCCTCAGTGTAACCAGGCTGCTATTAATAACAGAACAGACATGTTATAACTCCATATGTACGCTGTCAAAACCCTACTAGAAACCTGATTTATGGGATGTGGTTTGGACGCACCGCTGTGCAGGTTGGATCAGTGTGGAAAGATGTATTTTTTGTTTTGGATGACATTTTTTAGAATACTTTGTTGGGTCCTTAACAAGACCCATCTTGTTGAATCCTAAGCTCTATTATCTGGATGATAAGGAAGCTTCTCTCTCAAGGCTTTTGTTGCTGCACATGACATGGTGGTGCAAGTTTTTTCACAAGTTTGTCTAATTTTATGGTAAATGCAACTCAGGCCTGGTGTTGATTTTGTTAAAGCCAACAACATAATAAAAACTGAAATTGAGAAAACATTTTCATTTACTAGAATAAGTAAAAACTGTAACTAATGGGGTGAAACTGTATCTAACTGGAACTAAATTGTGCATTTATAAAACTAACTAAGACATACTGGAATTGTAGACATATCTTTTGTTTTCATATTTATGAATCTATATATCAGCCTCTTGAACTGATGTAAAATAGATTTTTTTTCATCCATGCAATCAGTTTACATCAGCTTCTGACACTCCATGCTCCTCCTGGTGGCTACGCTACGCTAGTCCGCAAAATGGCAAAAGCTGAGTTGTTCAACAATAATAGATTTTTTTTTTTTTGAAAATGGTATCTTCAGTTGAGTGTTCATTACCTAATAGATGTATCCATAATCACGATACAACACTCTGGTTAATATTTAGTTGCTGAATTCAAAAAGGTCAAAGTATGAAAAAACTAAAATCACTATAACCAATAAAAACTAAAGCTAAACAATATTTAACTAATAAGTAATGAAAACTAGCAAACACACTCTAAAAACTAGTTAAGATTAATTGAATTAGACAAAAAGTCACAGTGAAATGAAACTAAAATAAAATAAAAAACCCAAAACTGTTATAACTGTGGTGTGAAATATATTATATTATAAAACAATAACAAACACAATGATGCAATTATGGTCATATGCAAATGAAATGCTTCTGATTTATTTCCACATCACTTGATACATATAATATACTTATAATTATATTAACATATTAACATTATTTAGTTTTTATAAAAGATTTACATTTGTTACTTCTCTTTTTCATTCTATTCCACTGAGATTTTTGTTGGGACATAAAAATGCTACAAAAACCCCCCAGAAAAAGTTGCATTCCACATGTTTCTGATGACATCTCCTATTTTTGGTCTTGGATCTACCATTCCTTTCACTCCATCTTTGACTTTTTTTCTATACCTTTCTTCACCATACCTGACTTCTGCCTTTCAATTCACTGACTGATAGCTGTCTCACACTTTCCTCAGTGTAGCATCTTTCTATTTCTGAAGAATTTGCACTGCAATGTTGTTTTTTCAATCCCTGCTGGAGCAAGAGTTTGTTATATTAAATCAGAGCAATAAAATAATATGCAGAAGCCAGCAGTTTAGCCACATTTTTGTTATTTTTGCCTGTGAGTATCAAGGAAGTTGATCAAAGGGGCAGTCTTATGTAAAATCAACTTTTTTGAGTCTTACATCATCATGTTATAATGTTATTATAGTATGTTATAGAACAGTGCAGCAGTCCGCCCTCTCGACTTCCCCACTCAGCTCCTTCAGACTAGCCAGCAGCAATTAGCAAACACCTGTTGGAACTTCATCTGCTGACCTCATTGTAGGAGCTACTTCTCACTGAAACACTGTTATGTTGCTAAAGAGTTAGTAGAGGAGCCATGTTGCGATGACTTCCTGACAGCAGAGTTTAAGAAAGTGTAAGATTTTCTTAAAGAGACAGAGGCCCAATTTCAAGGCATTAAATTATTAACAGCATTTTTATAACAACTGAAGGTTGTCACAGTTACTTGAATGTGCTATAAAATGACACTGTGACTGGAAAACACATTATGCTGTCCCTTTTTAAGCAGATTTTGTAAACAAAAGCTGAATAGTGTCCTCTTGGCAGAAAAAAATGGCTTAAATTTAACTGAGCTTTCAAAAAAAAAAAAAAAAAAAAAAAAATAGATTACAGCTAATTTAAAATTTAACAAAATAAATCTCTTTTTTTC